TATATGAGTGGTCGACAGTCGTCAGTAACCTTCCGAGATCAAACCTCGAAACCAAGAAGGATTAAACAAGGGGTTCCACAAGGTTGTGTTCTCTCCCCCTTACTATTTAACTTCTACATCTCGAAGCTTCCTCAACCACCTTAGGGACTTTCCCTGATCTCATACGCTGACCATTGCTCGATTTTGGCGTCCGGGAATGGAATTGATGACCTCTGCTCAAAAGTGAACGACTATCTCTCCAGCCTTTCGTGGTTCTGCACTGCAAGGAGCCTAACACTCTCCCCAACGAAATCAACGGCGACCCTCTTCACCACCTGGACGAAGGAGGTCAGGCTAGAGTTAGGCATACACGTCGATGGCATACCAATACCGACTGTAAACAACCCGAAAATTTTAGGAGTCACCTTCGATAGCCTGCTCTCCTACTCCACCCACAAAACCGCAGTTGTCAATAAAGTACAGAGCCGCAACAAGGTCCTCAAGTCGCTCGCCGGCAGCACTTGGGGCAAAGACAAAGAAACGTTGCTGGCAACATACAAGACAATTGGCAGGCCGGTTCTAAACTATGCTGCGCGTGTTTGGACGCCGGGGACTAGCTGTACGCAGTGGAAGAAGCTACAGACTTGTCAGAACGCCGCACTCCGGACAGCGACTGGGTGCCTTCTGATGACGCCTGAGCACCACCTGCACAGCGAGGCCCAAGTGCTCCCCGTAAGGGAACACAACAAAATGCTCTGTAAGCAATTTCTGGTGGGGTGTCACAGAAGTGAACACCCTAACAGACCGTTGCTTCAGGAGGAGCCTCCGCCCAGGCACGTCAGGGGTCACCAATTCGTGTACATAGACGCAGTCCAACAGTACGTAGACCAACCACTGGACCCGACGACATACAGACGAGCCATCAACGACATTCATAGAGAGTCAGTTACCACCCACCTCGACTCTCGACCTATGAATGCCGTAATAGGAGCCCAAACACCACTTGTAGAAGAGACGGAGCTTCAACTGCCAAGAGAGACCCGCGTTACCCTGGCTCAATTACGGTCTGGATACTGTAGCCGCCTCAACAGCTACCTGTCCAGACTCGACCCCAATATCCCCAATGAGTGCCCGGCATGTGGAGAATTCCCCCACGACACCAACCACCTCTTTACATGCCAGCTCAATCCGACTCAGCTAACACCCCTCTCCCTCTGGTCCGAACCCATTGAAACAGCTCGTTTCCTGGGCCTCCCGTTAGTTGAGCTTGACGAAAATGATTGAACGTAGACCCGAAAAAGGCGGGGCTTAGTAGTGCCGCTACAACAATAACAACAACCACAGACCAGGTATTCACAATACGCCAAATCTTGAGAAAGACCCGCGAGAAAAGGGGTTCCAGACAGGGCGAATCCCTTTATGTGACTTCTTTAATCTGATGTTGGAGAAGATAATAAGAGGTCAGGCGCGTCCGATTGCTGGCGTATGCCAATGACACGGATATCATCTGCGGTGTTGTGTTTTCATTTACATGGCCCTCTGGTAAGACTGATCGTGTCAGCTGACTCGGGTTTACGTACCGGTAGGTTTACGTTCTTGACTAATTTCAACTTCATGGAAATTATTGCGTCGTCAAACAGGGCAAATTTATGATCGACCCTAATAGTAAACATGTGATAGAGATGTCAAAAAATATAAACAAAAACCAAGTTCTACGATCCTGAATTTGGTAATTTCGTTTCGCTTGGTTTATTTAAAAACGCTTTAATAATTTATATATTCATAGCAAAATGAGTTCACGCAACCGAGGCCGTGGAAAACGAGGGGGCGGTACGCGTGGACAATACCGTAATGTTAAGAGTAATCGCAATTGTGAGCGCAATTTCGCGCAGCGCGCATCTGAACTAGCCGGTGATGAGGAGAATGCAAACAGCGGCGATGACGGTGACAGCAGCTCATCATCTTCCGACGCAGGTATAGATGGCATTGGGCGACCACCCAACTTTCCCATAGCCATGTGGGACCTTAACCATTGCGACCCAAAGAAATGTTCGGGGCGAAAGTTGGCACGTTTAGGACTGATCGAAAACCTTCGTTTGGGCCAGAAGTTTCCTGGTCTGGTGTTAACACCAGTAGGGGTGAGCTGTGTTAGCCCCCTTGATAAGGAAATTGTTGAAGCAGCAGGTGTAGCAGTGGTTGATTGTTCTTGGGCTAAACTGGAAGAGACACCATTTAATCGCATGCGAAGCCCACATCCACGTCTACTGCCATATCTTGTGGCCGCGAACCCTATTAACTACGGGAAACCCTGCAAATTGAGTTGTGTCGAAGCGATTGCAGCTACACTGTATATTTGTGGTTACGTGGCAGAAGCGCAATGGTACATGGGCAAGTTCTCGTGGGGACACTCATTTATTGAACTCAATGAAAGCTTACTTAAAAAGTATGCTGAATGCAAATCTAGTGAGGAAATAGTCAGGGTACAAAATGACTACCTAGAGCAAGAGAAAGCAGCACATAATAAACCAAAAGATTTTAGTGAATTCTATCCTACAAGCAGTAGTAGCGAAGAGGAGGAAGAAGACCACGATAATGCGGCTAGCATAAGCGGGAAAAAATAATGAATTGACGTGAGTTTGTTTTATTTTTTTATATTTAAATACAATATCTCTAAAAAACAAAACGAATTATTTGAGTTGGGTGATGGAAAACATTGGTTTTAAATAGCTTAATATTTAGGGAGTGTATTTACACACGTCACAGTACCTTTTACCGTAGATGCACGGTAAAAATAACGTATATCCGGTAAAAATTACCGTGGTTAGACGATCCACGGTGATTTCGAAGTGTCTGTTTGCCGAAAATCCATGTCAAAAATTACCGTGGATTCACGGTGATTCCGTGTATAGATTCCGCCAAATATTTAAAGACATCGAAGAGTGCTTAAAGTTTATTAGATTTTTATTCTAGTTTAAAAACTCAGCAGAACATTTTCATATACATACATATAAACTACAATGTAATTTTATTATAGAATACAGAATGATGTCTACATTTGGCAATACATAGATTGAAGAAGACATACCACGTTAAAATAAAAATGCGTGATTTCACTACAAAGAATCCCTTTACAAAAGTTGTATTAGTACGCTAGTCGTACTTGCATACATTAAAATGTTAAATGAAGTTATATGAATATGCGAATGAGATTAAATGATAAAATCCTTTTATTTTTCTTCCAATCCCACTAGTCAAAATTTTACCGTCTCCGTTCGTACAACTTCAGCATCCGCAACAAATTTAAAATCATTGAGTGTTGCGATGATACTCCGGACTAACATTGACGAAGTTTGTCATACTGAAGTAAGTGGCACTATTCTTTACAAGAAATTTTAGAAAGTCATGTAGGTGTACCAGTAACATCTGCATCGACTTTTCGTCCAACGCGGAGAATCCTAACATTGATCCCAGCTTAACGAAAAGACGTAACAAATGAAATCCGCCATAGAGCTTAGAGAGTGATGTTTCTGGATGTTGTTGCAATATTTCCGCATATTGAGGTCTTTCGAATTTATAGAGCAATTGTGAGCCAAGCATGACATTGAAGTACTCGACAACTCCATTTAGTACATCGTTAATGGCTACTTCCTTGGAAGCATTTGTCGACTTGGAGGTCTTCTTAAAGGCAATGTATTGGTCAACAATATCCTGTACAGTGATTTTTGCTGGAATGTCAAGTAATTTATGCTGTCGCGTAATAGCATCCCAGTCATCAGCAAGGCATTGTTTTAGTTCATCTGGTATTTTTATTTTCACCTCCACTTTAGAGAGGAATGTTTCTTCGGATTCCACGCATGTGTCCAAACGAGTTTGACTTGCCGCAGGAGTAATACTCGTACTTGCTGTGGTAGTAGGTGTGCTAGTTGCGTTGGTACTTGTGCCAGCTGCACTACAATTGGATTTATCGCTAGCATTTGATGTAGACCCTCCACGTTTCTTTTTTGGTGGTTCATCTTTGGCTGCGTCATCTTTATTAGCGACAATTGAAGCACCTGTTTCCTCTTTTGTTACGGTTCCAGCATCACTATCTTTGGCGATTGGGGTACTAGTAGCTGGTTTTGTCCGATTAGCTCTACCTGAGGTTGAAGGCGCTGCCAATGGTGTGGTGTTCAACTCTTTTGATGGTGTGGAAGCGCGTGATTCACTACTACCGCTAGCGGTGCCATCCTTTGATGCGGTTCCTATGGTAGCCTCACCTTTTTTGCCCTTTGGTGTGCCTAAAAATTGTAATTAAACTAACTTATCGGAACTCTGCTTATTTACATCTATATATGTTTGGCTTTTTACCTTTCTTATTTTTCCCAGCAGAATTAGAATGCAGCTTGTATACCTCTTTCTGACGCTGTACGTTAGCTTCATTGTACTTCAGTACACGGTTTTCCGGGACCCACTCATCCCAACTGTGTATGAGAAAAATGATTATTAAACTTAAAATATTGCTTTGTGGAGCTTGTTTTCTTGTTTACTTTTTGTTCCAACCAGCGTAGTGAATGTAGTATTTTATTTGCTTATCCTTTGTAATTGTGCTTTTCAATGCTTTGGCTTCATAAATAAGTGGCCCATGGAAGCATAGCACTTTTTCGCCTATAGATGCGAAAACAAATATTAGGAAATTACTTATATGGAGCCAACTGTACTGCCACTGAACGCTTCGGTACGCCAAAATACTTACCTTCAGCGAATTTATGTTTAGGTGTCATTTCACTTTGGGAAGTTATTTTGAACAGTTTTATGAAAATGCGGGAGGAAAAATGTATTGATATTTTAGTTTATAGTTTGTTGTTTTGTTGGCGAAAGCGATATCTTCTCATGGATTGTGTATTTTCAAGCAGCTGAGAATTTTTCGAAATGTCAAATTGCTTGATTAATGAGCAACATTGCCAGACCGATAAAAAACTAATTATCTGACCTACATCTGTTCCCAGTTCATTGTTCCCAATAACAAGTACCAGTTTTTAATAAATTTTCCATGTATTCAATCAATTCAGTAAATTGCTTTAAAACTAATACTTAATATCTATTTATAAAGAAGCATATATGTACATAACCATGCACTTATACACAGATGTGGCCTCTTACTGTGCTAACCAAAACTCTTCGCAGTTGTTATTGCGCTTCTTCCCACGGCCTGGGACCACGCTTGTTCTCCCACTCATCAATGTTCAATTGTTTGATCCTCTCATATTCCTTGTCCAGAGTAACCTCTTCTGACTTTTTCATAGTAACACCAAGTTTTTCCATTTCTTCTGGACTCACCGGCTTTTTTCGCGAGAATTGATATCTAGAAGTAAGCAGACTGTAATCATTCCACACTAGTAAACAAATACTTGATTACCTGAGACGGGAGAATTGCTCTAATCCAAACGAGCCACCAACCACCAATATCAAGAATGGCACACCATATCTCATGGATTTTTTGCGGAATAATGTATTTAATTTTTGTGTCACAGACATTTTGCGTGCAGAACTAAATTATTTACATAAATCGTATCAGCTGTTCATCAGAACGGCGTTACCGGACTGTAATTAGATACATATTGGAATAAATCTTTGCAATCGGATATGACCATTGGGAACGAGAAAGGAAGCAGAGAATGTGGGAGGAAGGAAACTCTGAAAGAACCAGAGAAACTATAAGGTAGTTCAAATATGGCCACCTGAAATATGTACGCATATTTAAACATTTTGTAATTTTACTTCCTTCTACAAGTGAAAGGGTTATAATTAGTAACTGTACAATTCTATCAAATAAAACAACTCTTTCGAGTGACGAAAGCTGAACTACTAGAAATACAAAATTTTTGATATCAATTTCGTGACGAAAATTATGCACATTTCTTTAACTGCCTTGGAAACTGATGGAAATTGTTTTAGTCATTCGAATCGTTGATAAATTTCTGTTTTTGCGTTTCTAAAAGTAGACGGAACTTTGCAACGTTCCGAATAGATAAAAATATTTCCCGTCAGTTTCCGAGGTAGTTAAAAAATGCGTATGATTTTCGTCACATCGTAGTATGGTATCAATAGGTGGGTATAGTGCCTTTTCCAGTAAAGAATTGCAGCGAGAGCGTAAAATCAAAATAGAGCGTAAAACTGAGAAGAAGAGAAAACCAGCAGAAAAAGTTATTGAACACAAAACTAGTAAAAACTTGCAAGTGACAGTTGTTGCACTGTTTTGACACTGTGATGAACACTGCGAACAGCGAGAGAAAGAGAATGAGCGATAAACTTCAGAACGTTCTAGAGTTGCCATAAGTGCGAGCGCAGGTATATAAGGGCGCCGCCACAGCGAAGTTAGTTAGTTACAAGTCAGCAAGCTACAAGTAAAGTGAGTTGCGAATAACACGCTTATTCTAGAACCCGAATTTTCGTAATTCGTAATTCGTAGCTACGTTACGAAAAACGCAAAATCGACATGCTGCAACCCTTGCGGAAAAATATACAGAATTGTCAGGTATCAGTTGTTTTTCGAACTTCGCTGTATGAAGGAAAACAAAGTGGAAAAGAATTAAAAAAAACCTCATCATGTGCTTGTTTATAGTAAAAATGATTGATTTTAAATATTTTGCGGAACATTATGGATTTTGATGCATTTGCAGTTATAGCAGCGGAGTAAGAGCGCGGTATGGCAATGGGCTCACAAAGGTATGCGGAGCTGCCGGGCACAGTAACCATCGGCGCATCTATATCAGCTTCTGGCTGAATTGTTGAACCACAAGCCAGAACTCCTCCTACGCCGGAAAAACTGGTTCCCAATCCAGTTAATGCAATAACAGCTTCTTCCAATCCATTGAAAACATGCATTTTGTTAGGTCCATCACCTGTTGCGCTTGCTTTTGCCTTCGGCCGCGCTTAGAGATTATAACTCTTACTAAGTAGAATTCTCCTTTCTGTGTTACCGGTGAAGAGGGGCTTCCGCATGTCAAAGGTATACAATATTTCTTGTGCATGTCACAGTATTTTTGCGCAGAACCCACATCGAAATTTGAAAAAAAGTGCATAGTGCAAACCGAATTTATTAATAATTTGAAACATTTATTTTAAATAAAGCTTTAATCCTTTGATTACAAGCGTATGTTAAAGTTTCTGGATTCGGGTTATGCGTTTGGACACAACAACCGAAAATCATTGTACAAATAACTAAACCGGACCCAAGTTTCTCGATAAGGGGCAATAAAGATTCTTCTTTGCTCGTTTATATAAAGCAGTGGGTAAAAATATACGTATATGCGAAAGGCAAATTTATCTGTTTAAATAAACACCACTAATATTTCCTGCAACACACACGTCGATTTACATCTTTTATCTCGCCTCCGACACAGAATGGTTTTCGTACACAATTGCGCAAAAAAGCTTACTCGTTCGTTTTTAGGCTTGCCATTGTTACGGATTTCGAAAGTTCGAAGATACGATTCGGATTGCAGCATACCATTCCTACGATTCGTAGCAAAATCCGAATACGAAAGTGTTGCAGAATAGGGGTGTAAGTTTAATCATGTTAACAACCCAGTAAGAACCCTATCTGTTAACTAATGCGTTATATACGCCTAGT